ATGTGGGAAAAATAAACAGCCTTGCTGCTCCAGAATTTATAAAATGGTCCACAAAGAGCAAAAGGGTCTTCTCACCACCATTCAACTTCACGGCCCATAAAAAATGTTGCATGAGAAACCTCTCAGTTGGAGTAAATGTTCAGCCAAACTTGTACTAGGGTACATGCACTAAAGTTTTTCTATGACCACAATCAGTAAAAATAATTTAAAATCGTCCATATTGCCTATAAGTAGGTGAAAATAATTGACATTTAATGGATATCCTATCTTTTAGAGCATTTGTATTTTATGCAATATGCATACCCAGCCTCTGTTACAGAGGTTGATGTGTTATTTAAGTAGATTTTCCAGGAAAATTACGCAGTGATTTTTAATATTAGGTGTAAAGATACCAGAAAACAATTATTTCAAGATAAGCTTGCATGCTTTTCCAAGGAAACAAGCACTGTTACTTTCTGCTCTTGCAGTTAAGAAAAGGTATGTATTATGCACTGCCTATAAATTAGTAGAATTAGTCAGAAGAGGGATTCTCTAGATTCTTGATGAAGAGAGGCCAAACAGTGCTTTCTTTCAGACCTGTTCCGCAACATATTCTCTACTTGAACTCATGTGTGAAGACCTACAACAAAAATCCTGGAGTGTCACGGCTCCTCAGCCTCACTCACACTGCCTGTCACATGCTTAAACGGTGTGTATATGCAGGAAGAACTAATTCCGCACTACCTTGAAAAAAATAAAAGTGCCTTTTAGATATCATTTTATTGGCATGTAGGGTTTAGTCAAAGATAGGCCCTGCTGAAAAGGGATTTAGGCTTTTCTAAATTTAGAGAAATATTTCCTTTACATTAACTTGGTGGAAACTTCTAAATGGCTAAGTTAACAGCTTAATTTTCCAAGATTCCTTACAGGGCTTTATTATAGTAACATTTTCAGGACTCATTTTTCAAGCACAAATGAATATCAAATAACAAAGTTAGTAGGAAAAATGTCACTTCCTACACAATGATAATGAAACTGGGAAAGTTTAAATCAATGCTTGCCTTAAAAGCACACATTGACTCATAACTAATGGAAAAAGATGAAAACTCCAAGTTCGTCTTTATCATCTTTGCAAATTCCTTAATTTAAGGGTATAAGATGGTTGTAATATTCATACAAAGCCTGAATCCAAGATTTTCCATAGTATGCTATTGGTTCTGACTAACATGATACAAAAAGTACTATAAATGACAACCCCCAAAATTTTTTTAAAACTTTCTCATATTCTTACATTTGTGCTACCAAGGAACTTTCAAAAGGAGAAGATGGTCTTCACTAGTGCAGTTCTGACATGGCCTGGGTCCGCATAAAAGGCCATAAAATAGAACTCAATGGCTGCAGTATGATGCCATAAATAGTAAATGAATAACAGAATTATACACCAGCACACAGAATTTCTGGGTCCCAAAGTTATTTTTTATCCCTCCAGGACATCATTTGCCAGCCAAGAAATACCTTGACTTACTAATTTTGCATGGATAATTTATTACATATATATACAGGTATGTTCTGTGAAGTATAAGAAAGAAGTATACTGCCTAAGTGTTCTGATTCTTGACTATACTATGTTTGTAGCTGGTTTTCCTCGATTTTCACCAAATTACCTAGCCATTTAGCTACATTAGATTTCATTTGAACATTTTGATTAGACCACAGGAGACTTGCTAATACAATCTACACGAAACACGTTTTCATCCCAAATAAACAGGTACCGCTGGCAATACGGAGCATTCTAGGAAACCTGCCACTGCACATGTTCAGCCTGGGAGCACAGTAGCAAACTGTCAAAACAGGAAATAATGTGTGCTCATGTTATGTAGGCGTGATTAAAACTTACTCTTTTTACAGTGATTCATAACCACATTCTGATGATGATGTGTCATCTGATACTGTTTTCTATAAGATAGAAAGAAAGGAGTGAAAGGGAAGGAAGGAAGGGAGGAAGTTAGAAAGAAGAGGAAAAAGGGAATGAAACGGGAAGGAGGAAAGTGAGGGAGGAGAAAGAGACGGAGGAAAGGAGGGAGAGAGGGAAAGAAGGGGGGCATTTTGACTTTCTTCTACTTCTTGGCATTTTGACTGAAAAATTTTGTATTTCATCCATTCTTTGAAGTGGAAAAAAATATCTTTCTTTTGCAGCTACAATGTTTAATTTAGAAATCATGACTTTCTCATTCAAGGTTAAAATAAAATGAAAATCAACAGCATGACCCTGCTTGTCACAAATTAAAAAGGTGAATTTTTAAAAGGCATAGATCTTATCTTCTGTTTTCAGATTAGTCTTCTTTCACTAGATCACATTAAAACTCCATCAACAATACAAAGAAAAACCTGTGACTTTGAAATAGTCACAAAATGTCATTTGAAATTATTTTAGTTTTATCATTTTAAAATAAAAATAACTTAGACCATAAATTACACACAAATAGAATTTATTTTTTTATTTTTTGTTCTTTATACAAGAAATGAAAATAAATCACTATTCAATGTATGAATGGCATTTACAACATAAACCTGCTTATATACTTTTTCATAATTTAGAGCTCCAATTTAAAATTTTACATCAAAGTTGCCAAAAAACATTTAATTTTACAGAATACATAATTAAAAGTTAATTCATGAATTACTTCCTGTTTCTCACATTATCTCTTGCAGCTTTTTGAAAAAGCAAGCAATTTTGTGATGGTAACGATACTGACTAAAATCAAGATATATACCACAAGTTATATAATGATATAACTTGATTATGGAACTCTCTGAATAGTTTTATTTTTATTTGTTTAAAACAATATACTAAACAAAATTTAAAATAGTTTATTTCACATAATGTGAATGCATTTTTAGGAAAACTGCCTTGCCATTTAATGTATTTAAAAAACTAAGTATTTGAAAAGTGTATCCACAATGGTCCTAAGAAATGGTTTTGAATTCCAGAGTCCCAAGGAGATGAATTGGCTGTCAGATAACAATGTGCTTCCATCAGATGGACTTGGCAGTTGTAAACAAAAGGAATTTTCTCAGCTTTTCCTCACAAATATGAAATATTTGCTCTTGGCCAACAGCTGGGGCGATTTAAAGAAGTCCTGCATATATATTAGTTTTCATTCAAAATTACAAATCCTCATCCCACTATGCAACATCTGACTTAGTCTTAGAAGAGAAAACTGTTCTGAGATGAAGTGACATTCCCAGGGGAAGTAAAAGTTAAAAAATAATACCTACTTACAACTCTAATCAAGTTTCAGATCATATCCCATCTGGCTAATAAGTTTTCGGAAAAAATTAATTTATTCAAGATTATAGTTCAGATGATACTCTGAAGTGGTTTAAAAAATAATGAGAAAGTTTGTTTAGTTCTAGGGTTCCTAAAAACATTTAAAACTAGAGTATAATCAAAAAAGAGACTGCATAAAAAGTCATCAAGATTTCTTTAATGACATGAAAGTTGTTTAGGAACCAAAATATATATACTTCCATGTGATGACTAAAACTTATTCTTGAAACAAAGATAATGTTCAAATAATAATTTAATTATCTCTTCACTTAACCAAATATTTAAATTATAGTGATACTTTTTAAATTGATGGATTAAAATGCTTTTGCAAGTTACTCACTAGTAATTAGCTATTCATATGGCTTATGAAGGATATACTTTATTTACTGATTAATTACGAACTTATAAACTTTGTTATACACTCAAACAAATGTTTATCATGTTTCTGTTTCTCCCCAAAACTAGCTGAAAGCAGTGATTTTAAATATATTTTTAATTCCACAATTATATCCCCCGTAGTACAACATATAAAGTTTTACGCTAAAATTAAGTAGACATTTCTGTGTTTTACTTGAGATGATAAAAATGTAGTCTATATATTCACAAATATCTTAGAAGTTAACAAACCACTTTGCCATTTATGGATAATTACATGGAATTAACTTTTGCCCTTAGGCCCAATGAATCCAAAAATGTGTTATGCCTCAAATGAACACCATACGTCATTATTTTAAAGAAAAGTTATATTTTTACATAAAGTGACTATTAAAGCAGACATTAAAACTTATTAAAATAATTGTTGTTATTTTTACTAGAGTTTTTACATGACTTTAAAGTGCAAACTTACCAAACTTGGATAATCAAGCTATATAAGATATGGAACGCATAAATCAAATTACAAAGTATGTAATATGTCCTAAGTATTTCAGACAGATGTTTTATTTTTTGCAGACATACACTGCAAAATATTAAAAATGGTCCTCAAGTTTTATATATATTTATTTATTCAGTATATGTTTATCCATAAGATATTGTGTCTGAAAAAGTGTATCTTAAAATCTGAACTCTAATATTCTTGAAAAACAAGAACATTAAATGACCATACTTTGATAACACAGTTCTTACTTTCATAATCTTTCATTTCTGTTTTTAGCAGAAATATTTTTAAAAATTAGTGCAAAATAATGAAATAAAATTGTAGGAAGCAGTTATTACCAATGTTCACCACAAATTTCAAACATCAAAAAGCAAAGCTTAATCAGTAGGAATTTAAAATATTTCCTCAAGTGTCACTAAAGACACACAAAGCAAAAAGCACAGAAATTAAAATAACCATCAGTAAAACTCTTTTCCATAATGCACCATTAATGCAAATAAAAATACCACCTTTTGTCCTCCATAAGCAAATAATATAAACCAAATGAACAATAAGAAACATGTACATCTTTAAGAACCAAAGCAATGTTATGGAGGAGATAAATGTCTCAGGAAAGTAAATCTGCATTTTTGAGCTTTATTACAAGTTAGAATTTTGTATTCAGGAAATCTACTTTTTGTAAATTAGTCTGAAAACCACTCGTTCATCCTCCTTGTTCTGCAAACTTTCAAAACCTAAGACAGGATCCTTGAAATTCAAGTATTTTAAAGAATACAATCATGTTGTCATAACTTTAGAATTGAAAAGACTTACAGTCTCTCCAGTTCTTTAAGATCCTGGAATGCTCCTCTTTCAATGGTGCTGATCTTATTCTCCATAAGCTGACTGAAATGCAAAATGTAACATATTTCTTAGTATTACCACTCACCATCTGAAGAAATCTCAATTCAGCAACTGAAAAACTTGTCATCTCTTTCCCTTTATAACGTTAAATTTTGCTCTGATTTGAGATCCAACATCAAATTATACTTGAAGGAACTCAGGAAGAGGAAATGGCAGCGTCCACATCAAAAAACTTTCATGGGAAATACTAATGGAGTTTCTCAGGAGATTTAGTAGTCAAAAACCTGACCCTTAAACTATAATAGATCTGAAGAGCAAACCGTGACATTGTAAGCTATGATAGCTGTTTTTTGATACACCAATTTTCAACTTAACCAAAGAATCAATATACAGCAATTCATCATACATATATTTCAATTCTGACATGGATACACATTAGCAACTGGAGTAATGTGCAATGCACAAATGTGTCTCTGAAAAGATGAACACAGAACACACAATGGTCAAAACTATATGGACAGTGGGCTGTCAGTATTTACTATCCTATGGATAAAAACAATTTTATATTACACTGACTCTTAATTGATGGTTTGGTCACAGATAACTTAACCCACTCATTAAAGAAGTAATCATGTTGCAACAATTCTATAAAAACTACAAAGATACAAAATATGAGATTTAACTTAAAATATGACCAATGTATTTTTATAAACGTTTTCCACCAAAAAACCTGCTGAAAAGGTTGAATACTTGATTTTAGTGTTTGAAATTAGATTTTTTTTTGCCAAAAAATATCTAAAAATTTTGATCTTAGTAATAATAAAAGACAGATCCATTTAAATTTTATTAATCTCAAATTCTAAAAGCATCAAATGTCTCACATTACTTATTCATATTGTAAACACAATTATTCTACATTTTTATACGTATAAGGCACTTAGGGTATGGTTAACAAAGATATGAGGTCATTTCTGGATTGTCGTTTTTATGGCATGCATCCAATCTTAAAATAAAAGCCCAAATTGTTATTAAAAGCTGTAGTACAGTGATAAACACAAAGAAAAGGAAACCATGAGCTTTTAAATTTTTATGTTACTGTCACTGGAACAACTATAAAAAAAACTGAGATTAGTAATAATTCAAAATATGCAAACTTAAAAAAAATCCAAAACACAGAGGAAGCACTTACAGAACTCTTAGATGTCTAAGACCAGCAAAATCTGTCTTCGTAATCCGTGTGATGTTATTTCCATTTAAATCCCTAAGAGAAAACCAGGAAATGAAAGTTCTATATTATTTCTATGTAAATCTAGATATACACAGTAAAATTTGAAGTAAGTTAGAACTTTTATAGTAAAAATAAATTAAGTCACTAAAGTAGTGTGTACAAAGTATATGGGAGAAAGACACAACCTTTAAAGGAGCATTTTTAAAATGACTTTTAACATGATTACAAAGTTCATTCTTGCTGTTATATGGCAAAAAGATGAAGTGGTTACATTATCAGGAGTAATTCTGTTTGTTGTATGTGTGTTTTGTGTGTTTGTACGTGTGTGTTCAGAAGACAGTTTTCCATTTTTGTTTATATAAGGATGTGTATATTAATTTCACAGGTATTCTGCTTTTTTAATTATTATTGTTAAGCACACCCACCAAAATGTTTCTTCAGGAAATTAGATGCAAAATTTTCTTACAATATTCAAGATGAAATTTTAATAATTCATAAGGTTATCTTGAGGTAACACGGTAACCAAACTTCCTAAAGCAAAGAAAAAAGTTAGTGGCATCAAAAGGACTGAAGGATTGCTTTTCAGTGACTTGCGTTTATAAGCATTTACCTTCTAAAAATTGTTTGAATAAAAACTAAACTCTTCATTTGCAGCTCAGGGAACCCCACTGTGACTGTAAAGTACAAACTACTAGCAGGACCAAGAATGAAAAAGGTATTCAGGCCCTGACATTTTTGGTCGGATTTCAGCACCACCTTTCCTTCAAGAATCACAATCTCTCTTTCTGGCATTTCAGGTCAAGATCTAAACTTGTCCTGGTTCCAATCATTTCAAGTAAAACCAGCCTTTGCCACGGGTTGAATGTTCATCATAAAAGTAAGTTCTCTCTTACCTGTAACTTTAAAACATCAGGTCTGAAATCTGCATTTAAAGTGTCTCCTTGGTCAACGATAGCATTTTATCAGCTTCACCCAGGAAACTATTTTCTAAAAACTTTTTATTAATCCCTCATAGGGATGTTTTTTCTAAGACCTGACACTCAATTGCTAGCCCCCACCCAAGTGCATTCCCTTTTTTTGTTGAGTAAGACATGCCGGAGCTTAAACTTTAAACAGTTCTGAATAACATGAAATGACAAGTGCTAACACAGAATTCTGCTTTGCTTCTTCTCTTCCTTTCTCCCCAACCCACTTCTCCATGCTGAGCAAAATACCATTAAGTTGCTCCTAAAACTGCTGGACTATCTGATATAACATGAATCCTCACCACCCCTCACCCTAGACAAATGTGGATAAAATCTTGACAAGACACGCCTAGTAGGGCCCCAATTTGCCCAACACGGAGGGCTTGGTAAGGAGGGAGGGAATGGAGAAATGGGGCGAACCAGTGAGAAACTGGGGTCAGGGGGCCTTTTGCAAAGGAAGAAAGGACTCCACAAGGGCCTTTAAACTGAGGGTGAGGCAAATGGGCTGCATAAGAAAGAGGGCGACTCAAGGCACAGCGGACCATGCGGGTGGACACGTGCGTGTCGGAGTGCGTCCCGTCCATGGCCCGCGACCCTCACATTCCGGGGGGCAGAGAGGCCGCGGGGGGCGTCCAGGCGCGCTGGCACAGGCCGACCTAGCCCCGCGCCCGCTGTTCCGCCGGGCCCACGCGCAACCGCGGGAGAGCAGGGCGCCCAGGATGCCGGACGGGCGCCGGGCGACGGCCAGCGCATTCACAAAGGGAATGCCTCCATGCTCCGCTTCCCCGAACTCGGGGAGCGCCCCAGCAGGAGCGCGCGGGCCGTCAGCCCCGGGTCTGCTTTTACTTCTTCATTAGCGACTCGCAGAGACAGGGAGGCGGGGATGTCTGCGGGCAGCAGAGCGCGAAGAGGGGCGGGCAGGGGAGCTGCTGCCACGTGAAGGGGCGCGGAAACTGCCGGAAGGCCGGGCGGGGGGCGCAGGAGGTCAGTGGGCAGGGCCGAGGGGGGAGCCGAGAGCCGAGAGGTCGCCGAAGTAGTCAGACCTGGTTCGGCCGGCTCCCGAGAACCAGCGCTAACTTCGCCCAGCCGATGGGACTGTTCCCCGCCGCAGTCGCCAGTTCAGAGAAGTCCCTTGGGGCCTGCCGCCGCCTTCTCCCGGAGAATTGGAGGGCGGGGGGAAGTGTCGAGGGGGCTGCGCGCGGTTACTGTGTACGCTGTCGCCGTCCTGGGGTAGCCTGCCCTCTGCGGCCTATGAGACGCACCCCAGGCGCCCCACGACCCCTAGTCCCTTCCCTTCAACCCCAAGAGGGTGACACGGCGCCAGGCAGCGGAAGTTTGTCTTTTAAGTCCGCCTGCCAGCCCTTCTGCCCCAGCCCGAGACAAGAGCAGGGACTGGGCTGTGAAAGGGACCCGCGAGGGTTGGCGATCGCAAGCAACGTGACTCCATTTCTGGGGTCTGGTAAACAAAGTCGCATCTCACTTGCCCGGGGCATCCGCAAGTACTTGTCCCCTGTCGCCCTGCTCCCCAGCCGGAGAGAACTCGCCCGCAAGGAGCTGCGAGTGGCGGGACGAAAGCAGGGGAAAGGGACTTGGCGCGGATGCCAGCGGACCCGCCCTTCCTTGGACGGCGGCCCTTTCCTGGGCAGTGCCCTCCCGGAGAGCCCGACCCGAGGATGCGCGCGCTGAGAGCGAGCGAGGGCTGCCCCGGGCACAGGACCCTGCGCCGCTAGGTTCCTCCAGTGCGCGACCCGGATGGGGAGAGGGGAAGGCGGGGGGCGCGTACTCACAGTCTCTCGGTGTTGCGGGGGATGTTCCTGGGCACGCTGCGCAACGCCAGCCCGTGACAGTCCACTGTGCTGCCCGAGCAGGAGCACTGCGCCGGGCACGCCTGCGGCGCCACCGCGTTCAGGATCGCCAGCACTAACCCCAGCGACAGGCACAGCCTCTGCCAGCCAGCGCCGCGCATCTTCCCCTGCCGCCTCCTCCCTCGTGGGCGCTGGGGGTTTTCTTTAGCTCGTTGCTCCGAGAAGACCGTACAGGGTCTGAGGCCCAGCACCCGGCGCGGGGAGTGCCAGGAGAAACGTGCACACAATAATATGTATGGAGCAGTAATAATATTCAAGCAAGGCAGTACAGCCCACACAGGCACAAGCCTCCCACCTCCCTCTCCACCCTCCTCGAGCAAGGCAAAAGCTCCTCGGGCAACTTTAGGTCCTGAAGATCAATCGCCCTGGCCAAGGCTCAGGAGTCCGGAGACCGGCGTCTTCTGTCTCGAAGGGATCAACTTGGCAGTAAAAGAGCTGGGACTCCCAACGACCTCAAAGATGCAGGGGCCGGCTGTGCGGGGGGTGGGGAGGTGCTCTGATCCCACGCGCCCTACTGCAAATCTGATTCCAGTGGCGAGGGTACGAGGCAGCAGAGGCGAGCTCAACAGGGATGGTGACCCGATCGCCGTGGGCTTCCTGAAGCTAAAAGGCGCAGGAACCCCGCGGGCCCACGGCAGACCGTGCCGGGTGTCTGGGCATGGCGCGCGGGGGCGCACGGGTCGGACGCGCAGTCCGGAGGGCGCGGGGCGGCGCTGCCGGGTGATGGGCTCTGCTCACTCACGCGGCCTCTCCCCCGCCAGAGGCTCAGTCGCAGCCTGGACCGGTCTTCGCGGTCTCCCGACAGCCGAGGATGGTCCGCAAACACACATGCACTTCGCTGAAGGACGTCTCCCAATCTCGCCTCCCGTTTGGCGTCCTTGGCGACGCTCTGCACCAGGACCTGCCCTGAGGTCACGCAGAAAAGACAAAAGGGCAACCGGACCGCCGCAGCCAGACACAAATATCCACGAGTCAGCACCCCAGCAGAGGAAATCCAAGAGGCCAAGTTGAGGACGAGAGCTCCTGTGAAGACCGATTGGGGACGGGGACTGGCTGAGACACGACTGGCATGCAGGCCAGAAAGAGTGGACAGGCAAAGGCCAAAGTGGAGGTGTCCGTGCCCCGCGTCCGGCTGGGGTGTCCTGGAGAATGGCGAGGTGACAGGCGGGCGGGCTCCGCTACTCTGAGCAGAGCCCAGGCGCCAGCTGAATGGCAGTCGTGTGTGCGCGCGCGTGTCAGCCCCTCTGGTCTCCCGGATACGCGGCAGACACCTGATGGCAAAGGTGGAAGAAACAAGAGCCGGCTCCCGGAGGACACAGCCTCCCCGCCGCCCCTCGGCAGCCTCCCACAAGTGGGTCCTCCTCCTCCAAGTGCAGGAACTTTTCCCCGGCTTTGACTCCCGTCCCCCACGACCACAGTGGGAGTCCGCCCGCCGACGTCGCGACGCCGCCTGGCTCCCGGGGCTGCACCTGACTCGGTGGCCGCAGTCCCGGGCGGTCCGTCTCCTCGCAGCCCCTTTCCCTCGCCCGCTGCTTTCCGCGCCCCTCGCTCCCCGGAGGGAAGCGGAGGAGAGGGAGGGCGGGACGCAGAGCGGGTACTCGGTGGCTCTGCCGATTCCGGAGCCCCTGGCAAGTGTCTAAACAATAGGACGCACGCAGCAGCCAAAGTCTCGCTGGGCTACAGGGAAGGTGGGTTGTTGCTGTCACTGGAGTTGTTCGCTCGGGCTGCCTGGCTTTTGGCGCAGCCAAACAAAAACCCGGCCCGCGCCGCCGGAGCCAGCCGCGGGCCGCCG